TATATAATATATATATTTTTAATTATAATATATATATATATATATATATATATATATATATATATATATTATAAAAATATATATTATTATATTATAAATATTGCGAGTGTTTGATTCAGGACAGTTCAACAAATTTTATATTAAAGTAAAACATAAAATTATTTTCAATTAATTTTAAATAACGTTCACGTTGCAACAACGACTCGTTAACGATTTCTGCAAATTATACGGAATTGCGCTGCCCTCGTTTTTTATCAATATTCGCATCAATGCATAAGAGCTAATCATCGAATTTCACGACACCGCGACGAATCGACGATCGTTTAATGGATTTCCTGCGTCGAATAGGTGCCGAGAACGGACTCTGGCTGCACGTGGACGCAGCGTATGCAGGCAGCGCATTCGTCTGCCCCGAATTCCGCGGCTGGCTCCAAGGAATCGAGTACGCCGATTCGATAGCATTTAATCCTAGCAAATGGCTGCTGGTGCACTTCGACTGCACCGCGATGTGGTGAGTTCCTCTAACGAATAACAAAGAATTTCGGCCGGCAACAAATAATTTCGCCCGTGCGGCGAAAAGGTGGCCGCGAACGTCGCCGCATTTCTGACGGTTTGTAGGTCGCCCGGCGGATGCAGAATCGGTTTTTTCATTCTTCCCGCAATTTCCGTCGAACCGTTCGACCGACCCGACAGTAATTCACAATCTTTCGGATTGATATTTAAGGGGCCTTTTAAAGCCGATGGCGCCGGGAATACATCGAGCGGGTTTTATTACCCCCGCGACAAATTGCTCATTATCGGCAGATTGCGGTTTTAGCCCGGGCATATTCGGACTTTTCGACAATGTCTCGTCCGCGGTGAAATTCGAGGGCAATTTCTATTCTAGAACGACGCTGTTCGATCATCGTGGACGGAAGATTAATTCCGTTAAATCTCTTTCTCATCGTCGGCAATTATCAGAAAATCTTTGCGCTCGAACTGCGAAACTTCGCTGTCCGTGGATTGCTCTCGCGTTCTATCCAGGGATCGGAAGAGTTTGGAAATTCTTCGGCGGGTTCGATGCGAAAAAATGTTTTACGCGAGAAACGGTCGAGAAATGTTCGTTTGATCGTTGTAATTGCAAGAGAACTTGTGTGAAACGCAATGATACAAGTTTTCTGTCAGGGGGACACCTCGTCTCGTTAATTTCTGTCTCCGTAAAAAATACCGAATATTATTCAAATATTCAATATTTAATAATAATTATAATTCAATAATAATTATTAATAATATAATAATATTATATATATTATATAATAATAATATTATTAATAATAATTATTCAATAATAATTATAATATAATTATAATTATAATTCAATCTTTAATATTGTATACATATTATGTATATTTTTATAATTATTACTGTTACAAGGGATCTATTCGTTTCGAATTCCAATTGCATTATACGTTCGCGGGAAATAATTAATTCGATCGAATTGCAGAATTGAAAGAGTCTCGATTCCAGTGAAGTCGACTGTAAAAAAATATCGGATCGGACGAAAGCGTAATTTATAGAGAAGGGGTTCTAATCGGCGTGCATAATTAAGACGCATAATTCGGTAACGATGCTTTCGACGGTTGTTTTAGGGTGAAAAGCAGCCAGGCGCTGCACAGAACTTTCAACGTGGATCCGTTGTACCTGAAGCATGAAAATTCAGGTAAAAAAGCACACCGGTACTTTTCTCCCAGTTCGTTTTTTTTTTTCAAATCGTCCTCTTCCGTTCGGTCGAGCGTAACATGCAATTAAAAAACGCCGTCTTATTTACTTCCAGGGCTTGCTATCGATTACATGGTAACTAAGCAATAATGTTCGCGACACGTTCGTCGAACGCATATCGAAATGATTAGCCTAGATGTACTCGCATGTATTCCTGGTCACGATTAATCGTTTCTTTTGTTGAACGTTGTTTTAGCACTGGCAAATCCCGTTGTCGAAGAGGTTTAGAGCCCTGAAACTCTGGTTCGTCATTAGAAATTACGGAATCACCGGCCTTCAGAAACATATTCGCGAGGTTTCTATTACATCATGCATTCTATCCTAAAAAGCACACCGGACACCGTAAACACTTGCAACGCTCCTAATGCTTTTAAAAACTGCAACATCATTTCCTTGTTCCGAAGGAACTGTTGGTGTATCGAACACTCGTTTCGACGAAACTTATTGGAAAAGTGAACATTTTTCGAAATTCACCGCGAGAAAACCAATATGAATTTTTAACACGCGAGACCCCTCTAATTTAATAAATTAGTATTTCTGTTCGATGGTTCAAACAGTCTTGAATTTATGAAGTTTATATTAATATTATATAATAAATATTAATAACATAATATTAATATAATTTATGAAGAGTTTATATTAATATTATATAATAAATATTAATAATATAATATTAATATAATTTATGAAGTTTATATTAATATTATATAATATTATATTATTAATATTTATTACATAATATTAATATAAACTTCATAAATTCATGTCATCAAATATTGTATAATAAATATTATATAATATTAATATAAACTTCATAAATTCAAGATAATATAATATAATCTATTTATATTAATATTTAATATTACGAACTTTAACTGTGCGGATCGAATATACATTAATTTTGTTCTAAAGCACAAAGTAGCTAACGTGTCCGGTACGGGTCACATTGACCCAGCTTCGGCTTTCGATCGAGAATTAAACGTCTGCACACGCTGTTCCGCGTCGAATTGTTTATCGATTGCTGTCATTTCGTAATCAACGCGAGATTACGTGAATCTATAATGACTGTAAATGTTGATTGTAGGGAGTCAGGCTGGCACAAAAGTTCGAGGCACTGGTTTTAGCGGACACTCGCTTCGAAATTCCTGCGCCACGGCACCTGGGCTTGGTGGTCTTCCGTCTTCGCGGTGAAAATACGTTAACGGAGAAGCTGCTGAAGAAAATGAACACGAGGGGACGTGTGCACTGTGTACCGGCAGCTTTACACGGAAAATACGTGATCAGGTTCACCGTCACCTCCACTAAGTGAGTTCGCCAACCAACGAATTGCAACGTTGAAACTGTAATTTTAAAAAATTGGGTTGGCAAAACCAAGTTTCCGCCGTTTTTTTACAATTTTTTGAAAGTTTATTTTTTAATAAAAATTAAGAACCAATTAATCAGTAATAATGCATTCTCCCGCGAGCAGCTTTCGCGGTCTTAGAACCTCGATTAAAAGCAACAAGAATGCTGATTTTTCTCAATTTGACGTTCCATTTTAATGATCTGAAAATTAACATAAATTAACTCGAACGAATAAAACAAAACATAGATTCCGGTAGAACAAAGCTTCCCCTTTCGAATGATTTAAAACACAAAATCATTTGAAATGCATTCTCCCGCGAGCAGCTTTCGTGGCCTTAGAACCCCGATTAAAAGCAACAAGAATGTTGATTTTCCTCAATTTGACATTCCATTTTAATGATCTGAAATTTAACATAAATTAACTCGTACGAATAAAACAAAATATAGATTCCGATAGAACAAATCTTCCTCTTTCGCGAATGATTTAAAACACAAAATGGTTTGAAATGCATTCTCCCGCGAGCAGCTTTCACGACCTTAGAACCTCGATTAAAAGCAACAAAAATGCTGATTTTTCTCAATTTGACATTCCATTTTAACGATCTGAAATTTAACATAAATTAACTCGAACGGAGAAAACAAAATATAGATTCCGATAGAACAAATCTTCCTCTTTCGAATGATTTAAAACACAAAATGGTTTGAAATGCATTCTCCCGCGAGCAGCTTTCGCGGCCTCAGAACCTCGATTAAAAGCAACAAGAATGCTGATTTTTCTCAATTTGACATTCCATTTTAATGATCTGAAAATTAACATAAATTAACTCGAACGAATAAAACAAAACATAGATTCCGGTAGAACGAAGCTTCCTCTTTCGAATGATTTAAAACATTATACCAAAAACATTTTAAAAAACGGCAGGAACTTAGCTGTCAACCCAGTAGAATTTGAGAAATATTGCTGAAAATTTGATAGCGAGCAATTTTTTTTCTGAGATCTGACGTTACGTTATCGCGTTTAGCACGACCAACGAGGACATATTGAGGGACTGGGCAGAAATACGCAACACGGCGAACGAAATAATCGGGGACACCGCGAATTCTCCTGTTAGAGCAAGAGTTCCACTCGCAGGTAATGCAGACTAAAAATCGGTAGATCGGTCGAACCGCATTGATACGATTGAGTCTTGATAGTTACGGCTGCAAACGTTGCGCACACAGACTTTACACGCTGCTCGATTAAAAAGTCTGCGGTGCGAGCTTGTCCTCCGTTATTAAAATTGACATTCTGTTTCAGCTTCTTAAACCGAGCCAAGTATTATTTCCTTCTATTTTTACGTTAGTTCTTTAACGAGCGAAAGTAATATTTTTAGCGGCGAACGATGTTCGTTAAAAACAATTTGCCTCTGCGCATCTTCATTATCTTCGTTAGATTGCCCGTTTGAAGTATTCTTTACGATGGTGTCGAATCTCTTCGGAGAAACGTTGACATTATATCGTTTAGCAGCATGGCACTTAACTGAAATTCTAGATAGCTGGTGTTTTGTTGAGAATGCAGTTTATCGAATCGAATGGTATCATCAATTTATGGAAGAGATTATAATATACGAGGTTTGCTTGATTACTTAAATTTTTCATTTCTCCCTCTTATTCGTTTAAGTTTCTTTGTTCCGGCCGGTACAAAAACGAGTTCGTGCTGATCGCTAACAAACAATTAATTTTCTTTCTGATCGCATTGTTTTACGTCTTCCTTTTGTTTGTTCCGTAAATATGCATGTTCCAAAAAATGTTTGGAGTGCAGAAAGCTCAGGTAAGACGAGTTACCAGTTATTATATATCGTTTCTTCGTCATGATAGTCGTTCTTTGATTGATGATTTATATTGTATTTATGATTTATGGTTTATGATTTATATTGTAATTAAATTGGCGTCGCGCACGTGTCGCGACTGCGACAACATCGGCAGAGATTGACAGACGCCGTGACAAATTTTCAGACACTCGTGAGAAGAACGAAAACTTCGGCTCGAGCTTGCTGTTAGCCAATTCGCCGATGTCGCCGAAGATAGTGAACGGCAGTTTTGCCGCCATTTACGACACGGCCGACGTTTTCGCGGAATGCACGAAGGCTTTCGGTCAGTTCCGACTCGAGGCTAGAGACAGTCCAGGTAAATGATTTGGAAATAGGAAAAAAAAGAGAACGAAATGGTAAATTTAGGTTTCGAATGAAATATCTTTTTCGTTACAGCTATGCGGCGACGAATTAAAGGAATACTCATGTCGGGAAAGCAATTCTCTTTGGACTCGCGTATGGACCTCGTACAGGTAGCAAACATAACTTATTTTTGTAGTTATAGAATTGTCTCTTTGTTTCGCTAAAAATGTGGGACAACGATTGTCAGATCTGTGTACATTCGAGATGACATTATTTGGGACATATTGTTACAAATAACGTGTTACTTTATTTTTTATAATTTCTTATAAAATTCTTTCTAATAAAATTTTTTCTTTTTCATAAAATTCTTTTCTTTCTTTCTTAAAATTCTTTCTTTCTTCTCTCTCTTTAATAAAATTTTTTTCTTAATAAAATTCTTTCCAATCGATGCTCAGATTGTGCAGAAAAATGGACAATTTGGTAAGAGGAGACACGATTGTTAACTATTATACCGATTGTCTAGAACTATAAAAACGAGAGCCGCAGGGCTAGAAAAATCGTATCTCCTCTTCCCAAATTGTCCATTTTTCTGCGCAATCTGAGCGCGAATTAGGGAGAATTTACTGTATTTCCATGCCTGTGATCACTTTCGAAATGACATTATCTCGGATATTAGTTTGAATGACGTGTTGGTTCATTTTTTAGGTGCTTGAAATAATGATTTAAGATAACCGTGAAATACTTCTTGGATATTACGTGGCAATGATCAGCTCTGACAATGAGTCTGGTTCATACAGATATCATTATTGACATTTCTACAAAATACACATTACGAAAGATTTTTCCGAAGAATAGCATCCCTCTTACGCGACAATGTTAAATGTACCCAGAAAGAATCTCTTAATCATGAACTTTCCAAGTCTGCTAAGAACAAATTCTTGTACAGATTTCATCAAATAAAATCTTATTATTGCGTGCTATTTTATGAATTATTTCTTTATTATTAACGTTGTTGTCGCAGTCGAAACAAAAGTGCAAGAAAACAATTCCTTAAATTCCTCACTTTTTTATTTTCATTTCGAGAAAATGAAATGCCCGGGTCCGTTGATAGCTTTGCAATTAAATTCGCTCCGCTCAAGACAATGAAGGTAACATTTCGCGATAAAAATCATTCGATGATGTTTTAAAAGCTGGGAAGAGTAGTCGAGAATTGATCGGGATTTAATTTAATTTAATTTAATTTGATTTGATTTGATTTGATTTGATTTCTTTCATTTCATTTCATATCATTTTTACTAATTTAATTTGAAAGTCCGCGAAAGGAAGTTACGGTTTCCGCCGCAATTAATGTCGTTTGTGTTAACACGTTGAATGCCACGCCGGTTTTACAGAAATTGTCCGTGGCGCCACGATGAATTTTCTTCTATGTGATACATATAATGTTGAAATATTATCTGAAACAGATAAGTTACAGTGTACAACCATGTTTGACATGTTAATTGCGACAGGGGTCACTGTTCGAATCGACGATGGTAATAATACAAAATTTTAGGTATTGACATTTGTTTTAAATTATATATATAATTATATATATAATACAATATATATATATATATATATATATATATATATATATATATATATATATATATCTGTTTCAAATAATATTTCAAATAAATATATATATATTTCTATCAATTTGGGCGCGCCGATCACCGGCGGCCCCCATGGCCACCGCCAAGTAAGTGCCGGTCACCGGTGACCCCCCGTGGCATTCAACGTGTTAACGAGCCGACATGTTCGACAGAGAGCGTGAGAAAAACCGCGTTGTCCACGTTCCAGGGATACGCCTGCTGTCGCCCGGTCGTCGACATGTCCTCCGAGCTACCGTTGAAAGAGGACGAGGACGCCTGCGGTGCCAGCGAGACAGGATCCGACGCGACCGGATCCAATAATGGCAAGCACCATCACTAAATATCAATATAATCTACCCGTATCTCTTCTTCACGTGTTGTTAACTTCCAGTACACCTGTTCATACAAACACGAGTAAAAAGTTCCGAGTAAAAAATTGCAGCCCCGTTCGCGGGTGATTCACGCAGGCTTATCATTTTCAACTTGAACCAGATGCTTCCGGCGAAAGCTCGGCCGCACTACAGAATTCGCCGGAGGCGGCGACGCCGGAGAAACGGCTGCGAAAGCAAAACAGTATAGCCCGGCCGAATTACGGCGCCGTGAACGGTTCCATCAGGATCGGTCTACAAGATTGCTCGAACGAATTAGCGTCCATGGTGGTGACAGAGGCGAATCTGCCGAGGAGCGAAACCATTGGCGCCATTTGCCATCGGTCCTACGATACGCAGGAGCAACGGAGCGCTATCGAGAAGGAGGCGAAGAGCAACGACGGTGACGCCGGTTTCTGCAGAAAATGTGGCCACTGTATGGCGAAGGATGGCAATTAGTCGACGCTACGTTAACTCCGACAGATCGCGATCGATCGCGTTCCCTCGTCCGCACCACGGATTCAATGTTGTTCGGCATTAAGCGTGACGATTCGCAGCACCCGCGATGAATTGTTGCTACCAGCTGAGAATAAATCTGAAGTTACTCTCGCAACGTCTTCGTTCGTATATATATATACGTACCCGTGTCCACGGAGATATCTAGCTTTAACCTTTTAGGTACGGCTGAATTCTGCGCGAGGCTGTTTCTCTGGACGGCAGAGTCTGATGTGTACTGTACAGAGTGTCTCTGTATATTCTGTCTGTATATTGTTAAGACTGTTGTGTAAATCGATGTGAAGACAAAAGAAGTGTGAAACAATGCATATGAAGACGATTATTTGATTGAAACGATGACCGAGTGAGCTACTAGAGTAAGCCGCTATAGTGGTGCGTCGTTCAGAGAGATGACATCCGCGGAAGCCACTATAGTGGCGCGTCGTGCCTAAAAGGTTAATCAGCACCCGAGTTTTCTTTCTGTCGCGTAAATTACGAACGTCGATATCTGTCTAAAGATCAGCAGCGATCGTAACTTACGCGGCGCTTTCAACGCCGATTTTATTTATTCGTTCTCGAAACGTGAAATATCTTGATTTCCGTCGTTCGAACGTTTGCTTTATGTATTGAAATTATTCCCATTACAGAATTAATGGGAAGCGAAGTCATTGGCAAAATGGTACAACAAATGTCACGCAACGTTTCTTTTCTGACATCCTTATTGCAGTTTCTAGAGACGATACTTTGTTCTTTGTTAAATCACAATGCAGTCTTTGTAAAATCGTACACGGTCTGGAAATCTTCGAATGGCCAATGACAATTTCTTGATCTTCGTACAACGTTTCAGTTAGGATAGTTAAATCTCTGCATGCGACAACGGTATAACGAATTATTCGAATAAACGTTTCTTTTCTGACATCCTTATTGCAGTTTCTAGAGACGATACTGCATTCTTTATAAAATCACAATGCAGTCTTTGTAAAATCGAACACGGTCTGACAAACTTCGAAAGGCCAATGACAATTTCTTGATCTTCGTACAACGTTTCAGTTAGGATAGTTAAATCTCTGCATGCGACAACGGTATAACGAATTATTCGAATAAATTTTTCTTTTCTGACATCCTTATTGCAGTTTCTAGAGACGATACTTCATTCTTTGTAAAATCACAATGCAGTTTTTGAAAAACCGAACACGGTCTGACAAACTTCCGACGACCAATGACAATTTCTTGATCATCGTACAACGTTTCAGTTAGGATAGTTAAATCTCTGCATGCGACAACGGTATAACAAATAAATGATAATGCTAATAATTAATAATAAATGATGATAATAATTCGAATAGATCATACAGTAATGTCTCCCTAACCGACGCTCAGATTGTGCACAAAAATGGACAATTTGGGAAGAGTAGCTTTGTGAATTCGAGCCTTGCGACTCGTTTTTATAGTTACCGATTTTCAACAATTATAAAAACGAGCTGCAAATTGTCCATTTTTGTGGACAATCTAAGCGTCAATTAGAGAAACATCAATGTCCAAACAGGTTTAAAGTGAAGTGAAAGGTTCGGGTCGTCTGCGAGCAGCAGAAAGAAACGTGACAAGATCAATGACATATAAATTTTATTGCGAATCACGATATGACATGTCAATATGCCAGGCCAGTCTAGGCCCCCGATTATCTCCGCTTCGATATTCGACGAATATACTTAACAATTAACTAATTATAGTTCCTCTTATATAACATATTCCTTATGTTCTCGTTCTTCTCGCGACGAAAATATCGCATCCGCGAAACGACGTAGAGAGTGGTAGTGACAGGGGAGGGGATTGGGCGTGGGCGGGGAACGTGCTTGTATACACGTCCGTCGTATATTTGCATATTCAGGTAAGTCAACAAAGTATCACTTTTGTATCTGGTAGTCTATTATATTCGCGTCAACAATCAATTCGCGATCGGTACAACGTACTCGGTGAGCTTCGAGACTCGAAACACCGCCGGCGGTAGTAACAACAATCGTTTAAATTACAACATGCCCTTTGTTTACGTTCGCTTCTGCCCAGCGCCGAACGCGTCGCCCGCGGAATCGTCGGCTTCAACGGCGCCGGGAACAACCCGTTCGCCGTTTCTCATCCTTTTCGGACGACCTGTTCGGTGCTCCGCAAGCTCTCGCATGGGTAACGGCGGAACTTCCATCGTCCGTTAATGAAACATCGATAAAATTGTCGAGCTCGATGAACGAGCTTTCGTCGTCGCTAAACCGCGGACTTTGTGCGCCGGTGGTCGAGCTGATCGCGAACGCGTTGCTCCGCGACATTAAAGAAACCGGTGTTCCGGACTCTCTTGAATCGTCCCCTCCGCTCCTTTATTATCGCGGAGCAGCAGTGTACGTATGCTAGGAAAGAGAATTTCGGAATTCATTGTATTCTCCTCGATTCGGCAATAACGATACGAAGAAACCGTGACACGGTTTCCTCGAACCTCCGTTTCATAAAAATTGCATAAAGCTCCGCGGTTCAAGCATTCGCGATTCGAACGATAACAGGAAATATAAAATTTTCAATGAACGCCAAATCCGTCTTAGCCCGATCAGTCGCTCGTGATTCCGTAACATTTGATTACCCATGCTTCCCGATCGTTTCCTTTTCTCCGTCTCGTTTTCAACACCTCCAACGTGTGCGACGTACGCTTCGGATCATCCTGCGTGCTCGCGACGTCTACGCGACGATCAATCGTCACCGTTCCTCCCGTGATCTCTAGCTAAGCACCGCTTAACATTAGTAGTCCGTAATCTGGCATCACGATTGTACTACGTCTGGTAAAAAATTAATAAACGCCCGGGCAAATAATTCACCGTCAACAACTTTCATTCCAAGGAGAGAGACACGCCGTGCTCTCGTTTTTCGCGTGTGCTTCACGACTGTGTGTGTGTGTGTGCTCGTCGAACCCGCGCTCTTTACCAAACTACGCTTGCCACTCTAAACAGCGCTTACCTACATGAACGCGTGTCGGCCCCGTAAATGCTATCGGGTTCATTTATCGTGAAATCATCGTGGTTTTTTTCGCCGCGGCGACGATATGTGCATCAAGGAAAATTTTACTTCACTCTATCACTTGCGATTCCAAACGCTCCTCTTTCTCCTATTGTAGACAGAGTTCAAGCGAGACACGTTCGATCGGTTAAAACGTTCGGTTCAGATATATATATATAGCGGATCAAGCTGCTGCGGCTTATCGAATTTGTTAACCCTTTGTAGCGTTAAAGCCAGCCAAGCGTCGGAAAGCTGAAGCGTTGCGGGTTCCAATCAGCCATCGAACCGAACTGATCTCGCGGATGTTCTATTCGGAATTGCCGTGATGCCCGATTCGAGGAGAAAATTTCGGAGAAAGAGGTTTGCTTTCGTGCGAACTGCTCTTTCGGGGGAACTCAAAGAGAAAGTTTCCTCATAGACGGCCATCCAATGGACACTTTAGAATCCGCGGGGTTCGCAGAAAGAGAGACACGTGCAACTGTGAATTATTGACCTGTCGAGAGTCGGTAACACATTCTTTAACCCCTTGCACCACGCCGAAACTCTGAAAAAGTTGTATCAAGCTTGTCAAGGTTGAATGCTGCTGTCATCACAGTTTTCATCACTGTTTACGACTCTTTCTTCTACTCTTTCGCTACTCTCACTTCCCCGCGAACTTGCGTGGGGAATGTGCTTTTTTTACTAATTTTGTTTCTTTTCTTATACATGGTCGCGGGCTTGGCAAAATGATAAATAACGAAGAATAAAGCTTTCTGTAAAGGAGGTCGTTCAAACTCGTGATATTCATGTTTGCCATGGAATTGTAGCAACGTGTCAAACTCGTGATATTCAATTTTGGCATGAAATTGTAGCAACGAGTCAAACTCGTTAAATTCAATTTTGCCACAAAATTTTCATCACGAGTCAGACTCGTGAAAGTAGTGCAAGGGGTTAACCAGATAGCTGTGTTCGACGAGTATACTCGTCGTCGCTCGATTCTCGCGACACAGATAGGTGCGCGCTCTGAGATGGAGGCGCCGCAGCTAACTGGTTAATTCTGCAACGTTGCGTCGACAGCGCGATCGTTCGAAACGTCCTCCATCATTGCAAGAAACACGAAGCATTATTCGTAATGGCAGTTGCGTGGATGTCGGAGAGAACTCCGAGCCTTCGTGCGAACTGCTCTTTCGGGAACTCGAGAAAGTTTCTTCGTAGACGGCCACCCAATGGACACTTTAGAATCCGCGGGATTCGCAGAAAGAGAGACACGTGCAACTGTGAATTATTGACCTGCCGCGAGTCGGTAACATATTCTTTAATCAGTTAGCTGTGACGAGTATACTCGTCGTCGCTTGATTCTCGCGACACACACGCTGCAGCTAATTGGTTAATTCTGCAACGTTGCGTCGACAGCGCGATCGTTCGAAACGTTCTCCATCATTGCAAGAAACACGGAGCATTATTCGTAATGGCAGTTGCGTCGATGTCGTAGAGAACTCCGAGCTTTCGTGCGAAGTTCGAAATCGTCAGCGTCGATCGATCGCTGGTTAGAACCGTTTAGAAACGACCGTCGTAGCTAGTCGTTGGTCGCGTAGCTGATTAAAGCTGGCAAAGGGTTAATCGGACGAGAGAGATAGAGAGATAGAGATAGAGAGATAGAGACAGATAGATAGATAGAGAGAGAACGGAATAGAAAACCTGAGACGTTTCTGCGATTCCTTACGAACTAGGCGTCTGTCCCGTCGAATCCTACGCGTCGCAACAACGTAAACGAAAGAAACAACGAACAGAACCGAAACGAAACGGAAAGAAACGGTAAAAAGTATACAGCGATCGGCCCGTGAAACTTTTTGTAAAAAAGAAAAAGAATATATACAGTAACGTCACTCTAACTGACGCTGAGATTGTGTAGAAAAATGGACAATTTGGGAACAGGAGATACGATTATTCGAGCCTTATAGCTGTTTTTTTTTATAGTTATTGACAATTCGTAACTATAAGAACGTACCGCAAGGCTGNATACAGCGATCGGCCCGTGAAACTTTTTGTAAAAAAGAAAAAGAATATATACAGTAACGTCACTCTAACTGACGCTGAGATTGTGTA